TGGAAGAAAGATAAATCTCAAGAAATGGGGACATGAAATAGTTAAAGCTGTTAAGTGCTATTTCTTAATCATATCAAGGAATCTCAATTCAATGCCTAAGGCATTGAGTTAATAAAGCTAAAAAAAAGCATAAACAGTCAATGTAATATGGCTGAATGACCTTTCACAATGTAACTTTAATTATCATTCTGCCTATTTCTCAATGTCTCCTGACATGCAGTGTATTCATACACCACTAAAGTTGGTATAAATATTTGATTGTTTGGAGGATGTGAAGTCTAAAGGGCTGACAACAGCTGTGTCTATGCAAACATTCAGTTCTCTATACTTGTATATAAAATATATATATAACAAAACTTTACTGCATAATATATTGTAGTAAGATCTGATACTATATTAATAAATATGGTAACTAATTGCAATCAATCAAGTCTTCAATACTGAATTTTTGCCATAGCTATAAGGTTGTACAAGTAGGTAATTTCAAGGTAATACTAATAGTCACCTTATATCAAGCTTTGATACACAGATGAATTCATTTTTCAAATAAAATATACCACACCTCACTGGTTATTACTCTTAATTCTGAGCTTAACTGCTACATAAGAACTGTTCAATTAACAAACTGTTCAATTACCAAACAAAAGTAACTTTATACTCTACTCTACAAATTAAAGAAGTAACATATGAAGTTACATTCTAAGCTTTATTCCCCAAAGAACAGTTCAATTTTCAAATAAGAGTAAGCCAAAAGAACAGATACAAATAATAATCTAATGATTATAATATCAAAGTTCAATATTCCCATATATGGGTAGAAAGGAATTAATTCCGAACACTTTACATTCACTACTTAGTTAAAGTGTTTTGATGAAAAGCATTGATGTAACCTGTGTAACCCTAGTCTTCAATTTTCCACTACAAGACACCTAAGCTCATCCATCTCCCATTGATTAAACGTCATGTAAAATTCTGATAACAAACATAACTAGTTTTATTAATGTTATTTGCCTTAATCATAACTGCAAGACAGAAATATTGGGCAGTAATTTCCAGTTGTGAGGAATCTTCGTTCAGACAGTGGGAAACTTTCCCAGCTTTCAAGATAAAAAAAAAAATAACATGTTATGCTGGTTTTCTTAAGCATACTGTCTACTAATGACAATAAAAATATACACAAAAAAAATACAATTTCTGATTAGTCTTTCTTTTATGTACTTTTTTGCTTTAGGTTACACTCTGAAAGAAGACAAGATTGTAGTGAATGTTATAAATACCTTCCCTTTTTTTCATTAATGAAGCTGACATTTTGTGCCACTTGAATAACGTGCAATTTCTGCTAAATTACGTATTCTAAATCAGAGTAGTTAAACATAGCCTTTTCTCTGCTCATTGTTCGACATAGGGGGTGAGACAAAAGTCAATGAATGTAAAAAATAGTATTTTAAAGAAAAAGAAAATTTATGTAAAAATTTAAATTGACTTTTTTTAATAGATGGATCAAAAAAAAAACAAACAAAAAATGTACAAAAACCTACACCTTTTCATAATGGAAAAATTGGGCTGGGGTTTTTAATTTAGAACTTTTTTTTTGTTTGGTATAAACTGGGTTAAAAAACAGGCACTAACAATTTTATACCATAAGGGCAGAGCATTGTTTTGCCCGGGCCTGTGAAATGACCCGCTCATTTTTTACTTGGTTTCCCAAAAGCTTTGTTAAATTTTTCAGTTTTTACATTTAAAGGGGGACATTTTTTCATTTTTGTTCACTTCCCCTTTTGGGTTTTTTTTCTTTAAAGTATGAAAACCCTTTAAAAGGAAAATTGGGGTTCTTTTTAAAACTCCATTTTTTCATAAAATAAAAAAGCTGTTTCCCAGAAACCCTTTTAAAGGGGTTTTAAAAGTAAAAACTAAAGTAATAGGAAATAATTCAGTAAAAAATCATATTAAAAATGTGTTGTCATTAGAATTTAAACATGAATGACAGCACATGTACACTTCAATATCCTAAAATAACTTGCCAGTTTAAGCAACTTGTATATATCAACTGCTAAGCTTCTGTTGACAAAAATAAATTTAAGGCAAAAAAAGAAAAATAATCTGTTTGCCTTGCCAATAAAACCCTTTAATTTCATTAGATTATTTCCAGAAATAGAGATAATGCACCAGTGCTGATTAGATACTAAAGAATCTGTAATAAGGCATTGTTAAAACATCAATCTTGTTTGGAAGTGTTTCAAAAGAAATTAACAGTTAATTTCCCATGAAGTTGAAACTTGAAACAGTGTTCATCACTGGGAATTTACTTGACAGAATAATATTACCACAGAACTTGAGCAGCCAAAGGCTACCTGTTTAAAACATAATTTGTATAGGATATCGACCGAGTACAAGGTCTTTCTTAAACAGAAAGATCGATGTACGAGGCCGATATCCAACTTACACACCGTTAAAACTATTTTGGCTTATACAATAGCTGATCCGAAGCATTTGATGAAATGCACAAATATTATTTTTAACACAACGCATAAACAGGTAAGCTTTTATCAACCTTCTGCTTAAATACAATATATATTTTGCATTTAAATTTGCTTTCCCCATTAAAATAAAAACTCAAAAAAGCTAAATGTGTAATTTGTCAATAATAAAGTGAATAGGTCTGTAATGGAAGGTATGTAAAGAAAGAATAATTATGTTGATAGTATTTCGTATCAGACAATGCAGATTCTCGGACATTTGCCCCTGGACGTTTGCCCCCCTTTTTGCCGTTGTGACTTATCACTTGTCATCTCGTGTATATTTTTTTTTGTATGCCAGTGGAAACATTTAAGTTTTATTTATTTAAATGTTATTTTGACTTTCACAAATTTGCGCGAATGTTTTGTTTATTTAAGCACAATGAAATTTCGACAACAGGCGATGAATTATGGTAGCAAACAATTCAACAATAACAATTTTTTTAAAACGGGGGTGGGGGGTGGGAACTGTCCGCCCCTTCCAAAAAACATGAGGGGGCAAATGATGCCACTGCAAAAAGGGGGCAAACTTCCGAGGGAACAACTGTCCAGACACCCAGCAGACCACGAAAGACTTACATATGTATATTATTGGCAAGTGTGAGATACATGAACCGAAACTATATTTTATATAGCAGATTATAAAGTGTTCTAGAATAAAATATGATCGTTCATCATAAAATATTTTAAACTAAATCACTTATAACTTTATTTACATTTAAAATCGTAATGAGTATGTTGTGATTTCTGCTATATAGTTTCATAGATATGAGCACTACTGATATGAACTTGAAGCATCCATTTTGTTATATTATAAACTTAATGACAGAATTACTATTACTTTAAAAATGACGCGATTAAATAAATGTTAAATGTGTCCTAACTTTGATATGCTATCCATAATTTTTATTCAAAGATTTAAAACAGCACACCTTTAGATTCATGTTAATTATTATGAAAATTTTGGAAATGTATTTAAAAGGAAAATATTGTGAGATGAACAAAAAAAGTAATTTACATATTGCAATCGGCACTTACAATCCAAGGAAATTGCCAAAAAGTCGTCAACATATGCTAAAATAGCCCTTAAGTACTGCGTTAGTAACGCAGTAGAAATATCGTAATAAAATACTGCAAAATCAGTCTTAAACCTCACATCACATGAAAAATATACCTTGGATATTGAATGTATTTACTTTTTTAAAGTTTTGGTACATTTTTCTAAATATTGATTTTCTTAAAATATTTGGCTCATCTGGAGGCGGGCAGCTTTAATATAGGGATGCTGGAATAATTGCTTAGTTAAAAGGGTTTTAGTTTTTGATTGCATTTCATGTTTTTTTTGTCTGCCCATAGGCAGGTCTATTTTTTCACGTATATTTCATGACCGGGTCTGTCTGACTAGAAAGACCTGTGCACGTGCAAAAGATAGACCTCATAACGGACTTTCTTTTGTTTAAACAGGTCTATCCGAAAAATATAGACCTGTCACAAACAATAGAAGAGGTGTGTAAATATATAAATTGACTTTATAGAGATGACATTAATTTGAAGAGATTAAGAGGGATTCTATATAACATTATGTATTTAAGTTGGACAGAACTAGACTGAAAACAATGCCTTGAATAAATAACTATTCATTAATATAAATTACCGAAACCAGCCAAAAGTAGAAATCTTATAGTTATTCAATAGAAATATTTATACTTCTTCTAACCCACAACCCTAAGAAGGTTGCACCCTAAGAAGGTTGCACACATGCAGTTAAAAAAAGCACAACTTAGTCTGTCCCCCTTTAGGAAAACAGCAAATACAGTAAAAAGATAAAACAATATCTCCCATAACTCATAGATGTATATCATTAGCTATAAATTAACAAGAATAATTTTGCAGTGTTACAAAGTCTTCATCAGCTTTATCTTAAGTTGGCTGTGTGTAGGTATCACATCATTTACAAGTAATAAGAACAAGGAAAATTGGCCTACCAACAGTGTCTGTCATGTGACATTCTACAAACTTGTACCAGGCTGTGTAATATAGCTAAATTATTCTGGCAAAATAATAAACTCCTTCTCTACATTTTGAAAATTAACCATCATTTCCAAGAATTATCGATCTAGTGGCATTATAAATCTCTCAAGAAAAGCTGTCCTAAAACATGCAGGTAGGTTATTCTTTTAGTATCTGCAGGACAATATTTTAACTTCTTTATCATAAACTGCAGACAAGTTTGATCCATAAGTTTTATCTCTTACTTTATTTAATATCAAATATATTTATATTACATAAAACCTCAAGCCTATAAAATTTAAAACAAAAATGTCATTGAAATCAGGTTCACATTCCTGCATGCAATGATAACCTTTTGATCTCCATTTCCTGCTAGCAGCGAGGAATTCTCCTTTTTACGCAACTAAATATGGTTGGAATTTTATTTTATAATTGATATGCAACATGGCACACTCATTTATAGACAATAGCTTACCTGTTGTATGACTTGATGTAGCCTGGTTTTAACTGACTCATTGATTTCCTTGCAAACATACTGCAAAACAATGACAACTGCTTAAAACATGCTTAATTAGCAGGAAATTAACCAATTTTCTCCAATTCTGGTTTCAATGTTACTCTATATTTGTATATTGGACCTGTCCAAAACTGAAATTTGGAAATTTAGCACCTAAGTCACTGGAATAGCTTTATACTAGGGCTGTCATTGATAGAATATGTTCAGTTTTATTAATTTATGCTAAACAAAATGGGTCAAAGACAGAAAAGGCCGGGTTGCATTTGTACACCAAATATCATGAGGCTGTGATGTTACGAAAAAAAATTTCCATTGACCCATTAATGTCGAAAATTTAATTCAGTAGGTAAACAGGAAGTGGATAAGCTACACACCTAAAATCAAATCCCACAGTATGGGACCATGTGTCAATGCTGTATGCCAAATATCAAGAGGCTGTGATAAGTAGTATCTGAGAAAAATGTTACGAAAATTTCCTTTCATTGACCATTAATGTGAACAGGAAGTGGATGAGCTGCAGACTTGAAATCGAATCCCACAGTATGGGACCATGTGTCAATGCTGCATGCTAAATATTAAGAGGCTGTGATAAGTAGTTGCTGAGAAAACTGTTACGAAAAATTTCCTACCATTGACCATTAATGTCGAAAAATCTAACTAATTTAACTATGTGGATAAACAGGAAGTGGATGAGCGACAGACCTGAAATCAAATTCCCACAGTATAAGACAATGTGTCAATGCTGTATGCCAAATATCAAGAGACTGTGATAAGTATTTGCAGAGAAAAACTGTTACGAAAATTTCCTACCATTGACCATTAATGTCGAAAAATCTAACTAATTTAACTAAGTGGATAAACAGGAAGTGGATGAGCGACAGACCTGAAATCAAATCCCACAGTATGGGACCATGTGTCAATGTTGTATGCCAAATATCAAGAGGTTGTGGTAAGTAGTTGCTGAGAAAACTGTTACGAAAAATTTCCTACCATTGACCATTAATGTCGAAAAATCTAACTAATTTAACTAAGTGGATAAACAGGAAGTGGATGAGCGACAGACCTGAAATCAATCCCACAGTATTGGACCATGTATCAATGCTGTATGCCAAATATCAAGAGACTGTGATAAGTAGTTGCTGAGAAAACTGTTTACGAAAATTTTCTACCATTGACCATTAATGTCAAAAAATCTAACTAATTTAACTAAGTGGGATAAACAGGGAAGTGGATGAGCGACAGACCTGAAATGGAATCCCACGGTATGGGACCATGTGTCAATGCTGTATGCCAAATATCAAGAGGCTGTGATAAGTAGTTGCTGAGAAAACTGTTACGAAAATTTCCTACCATTGACCATTAATGTCAAAAAATCTAACTAATTTAACTAAGTGGAATAAACAGGAAGTGGATGAGCGACAGACCTGAAATCGAATCCCACGGTATGGGACCATGTGTCAATGCTGTATGCCAAATATCAAGAGGCTGTGATAAGTTAGTTGCTGAGAAAACTTTTACGAAAATTTCCTACCATTGACATTAATGCTCAAAAAATCTAACTAATTTAACTAAGTGGATAAACAGGAAGTGGATGAGCGACAGACCTGAAATCGAATCCCCACGGTATGGGACCATGTGTCAATACTGTATGCCAAATATCAAGAGGCTGTGATAAGTAGTTGCTGAGAAAACTGTTACGAAAATTTCCTACCATTGACCATTAATGTCAAAAAAATCTAACTAATTTAACTAAGTGGATAAACAGGAAGTGGATGAGCGACAGACCTGAAATCGAATCCCACGGTATGGGCCTATGTGTTAATGCTGTATTACCAAATATCAAGAGGCTGTGATAAGTAGTTGTTGAGAAAACTGTTACGAAAAATTTTTTCCCCGCCCGCCCGCCGCCCCACCGCCCGCCCGACATTCACCATACTATAACCCGGGTTTGCACCTGTGCAACCCGGCCAATAATTACATACATGTGAAATTGGCTTCTTAAGCAGTAATTTTCTTTTTCATTTTCTCTTCTTTTTTTTTATCAAACATTAAAAATTTAACATTCACTTTCCTTTTTAAACATTTATTTTTCTAAATAATCAATTGACAGTTATGTATTCCTGGATTCTGCTCAGTACTGGCAGTACTTATCTTTATCTTTTGTTCATAGACCTGACTCTAAACCTACTGAACTTTAAGAACAATTTCAATATATAGAATTACGAGTACTGTTTCTTTTTAATATGATCCTTAGATTAACAAAACTAAAATAATATGCATTTTAGTATTTTCCCTCAAGAAGGTTCACCAAAAAGTTTAATGCGTGCCATGACAATAGTTCCATTTTTTGTTTTTTACAAAAAAGTGGTGCTAACAGTTGTATTTTGCACTCAAGTTAACAGAGAAAAAGCTACAATGCTTTTTGATGAATTGACCATAAAAATATTATAACAGCAAAATATTCAAAATATTTTACCTTTTCATGAATAAAATCAAAAAATTAATCATACACCAGTAAAATCTGATGATTTGTCTACTGTTAAGAAAAATCTTTACTCTTTGGATAAACATGATCTGGGAGAAAAAAATACATAAAAATTATTCCAAATTATGCGTGATATCATACTGCCAGTCAGCAGATGAACTACATTCAATGCAGACTCTACACAGAGGCCTTTACGTGCTTAGAAAATTACTCCCAGAGCAAGTCTGCCAGTAAGCCCGAGACAATGCAATAATATTGTTGGAATTAATTTCATTCCTTGATCAATGTTGTCTGAAAACATTCCTTATAATAGTGACGTGGAGGTCCAATGGCAAGCACTTGTAAGAGGCTTCTCTGCATGGAAATAGCTCAATTACTGCCATTTTGACAAAGGTCAATAGCTATTTAGATGAGAAATTATATTAACCAAATATCAGGCACGTTTCTGGATACGGCTAATTTTGAAAACACCACAGCTTATTCAATATATTGGTCGCTTGCAAAATATTTATATCACTTCCAAATGATTTTTTAGAGGGAAATAGGGGAAAAAATACTAACAGCCAAAATATGCCTTTGGGGGTTTCTGTTATTCAGAAAGATTCTGCATGAAAACAACTCATATCCATTTGAAAAGATTGTACAACATTTGTATGCTAATGTTTTCTGTGAAACATGAATTGGTTTCAACTGTCTAGAGGGTTAAATTCAAGCATATTTTCTTACAGAACTGCTGCCTGCTTTAATTAAAGGTAATATTAAACCCCATATTATTAATAATATTTCTTGAAACTTTTTTCATGTATCATTTGCTATAAAGAAGACATACACACTCCCATTAAATTAGAGATTGTTGTATCCGCAATTGTTTAAGAGAAATAGAATAAGGTTGGTTTTTATGTCTGCTTGAACAAGGTAGATAGAAGTTGAATATTATGTGTGATTTACCATAATTAAAATTTTGTTCTTAATTAAACCACAGTTTCTACATTGAATACTTGAATATGACAGTTTAAGTTTTTATTAAGTTTCATTCAAAATTAATTAAAATTACTTATTGAACTTGGAGGTGAAGAAATATCTAGTTCTTATAAATCAGATGCCTCAACTTATCTGAACTTGAGTTATAGTAAAATATGGTGTTTGTTTGTTTTAGTATTTGAGCCATTTTGGGGGGGGGGGGGGTCATATCCTTGCAGTTGGTCTCTGCAAATGCTTTGTGATGCCTTGATATTAAACTTTGATAGACTGGAAGAGGGTAATTTATGCAGGAACATGCAGAAACAATCAAAAAGACTCATCTAATATAACTTGATTTACAGAATTACAGATGTTTAATGTTTTAACATATCAATCCATGCGGTCATTAAAAGTGCCATTATAATTTTGAGAGACAAGAAGATTTGCAGTGGATTATTAATATCTGACCAACTTTTCAACATCAGCCTTTGCCTTGTCCATCCAGACTCTTCTGTTGTGAGAAGATATGAACACAGAATTTACAAAACTGTCAACTAAATGCAATCTATAAATAAATAGGTTCATAAAACATTTCCAGAAATGAATTTTACATGACATTTATAAATAATAATGACATTACAAAGAGGAAAATCTTTATGTCTTACCACTAAAACTGCTAGTACATTATCACTGCCCACTTTGCATACTGGTAAAAAGCCAACTGAAAGAAGCAATTAATACATTTATACCAAAATGTAAATACTGGAAGAACTTATTATAGTATGAAAAATTCAAATAACAATCTTTAATGATATATAAAAGACAGTGTAAAAATATATATTTGCTTAGAAATGTTTCAACTGAACTATATTCCCTTGTGCTCCATGGATGGCAGTTTTAACTTTCCCTTGTTTAGAAATAAATGCTTTTTGTATTTGTTGTGCATTCTGATGATTCTGTATAACCCTTTGACATGCTTAATTTCTTGAATAGACTTTCATTTCCTGCTTCCATTTTTTGTCCATTATCAATTTAACCCATTGCTTCATGAGCATTTTGTGAAAAATGGCTGTTTTCATTGAAAAGTCTCCCGTTACAAGTTCAAATTGCTATAATACTATAAAAACTGCTTCAACACTAATCAAACTTGGCACAAATGTTGACTGGACCATTGTCCTTGCAACAACATGCTCAGGCTTAAATTTTCTGTTACCATGGCAACGAGGGGACATCTCAAAATTGCCAAAAATCACTATTTTGCGTTGATTTTTTCCATCAAAATTGATTTCAAAGTGCTGCAACTTCTCAATGGATTGAGATAGAGTCAAATGCTTTTCAGCGTTGGTTACACGTTACCTTATGATCAATCTGGGGTCATTTACAGCCTCTCACAAGTCCAAAATTTTCTTGGCGATGAGGGGGACTCCGCCCCCCTTCAAACCCCCCAAACAGAAGGGGGCACATCCCCCTTCTGGCAACCCCCTGATGTATCTTTTGGTTGGGGGGCCGCGCCGAAAAAAGGGTCACTTTTTTTAACAACATTTCTCAAACAAAAACAAGTGTTTGGGGCCTAAATAAGGCATTTTTTCATCATTTGAGACAACAAAAAGGGGGGGGGGGGTGAAAAAGGCGTTAAAAGGCGTGTATATGAAGTAATGGGTTAAGGGATATCAAGATGAAAATCTAAAGTTTCTAAGTCACAGTCTAGGCCCTGATCAGACTGCATGTTTCTTGCTCATGGAAGCAAAAGCTTGAATCCACACAATTAGAAGTCCATAGATTTCTAGTCTTGACGCATTTACCACTTGACTATGCAGCCACTGTTGATATTATATATCAGGGATCATTCTGGTCAGAATTTTTAGTGAGAGATTTTCTCTCATTTGAGAAATTTTAATGAGAGAAATTAGATTTTCTTGAGAGTTTTAATTTTCATGATGGGCGTCGTTAAAAATATGGAAATTTCTAACTTTTTAAAATCACTGTACATACAAACATTGTTTATCTAATGAGGATATAGATGTAGCTGTTTATTACAGTGATTTTTGTTTTCACTTTTTTGATTCATCCTGTGCCTTTTCTTTTGTGAATTTTTAAACATAATAAAATTCTAATTGTGAATAATAAATATAACACTTTCATTCTGAAATATAAAAGAATTATACATGGATACTTGCTACAACTATTATTTGCAGCCAATGTTCCTAATGAACAACACTGTACTCTACAGAAGTGATTGTTGAGATTTAAAATATTTTTTATAACCTTACATTTTGTTTTCTTTATGATTCTCTTCACACACCTCCCTCCATTAAAAAATATTCATGAACACATAATGACAAATATCTCCATATCCACAAATATAAACAATACCTAAAGTAATTTTTATTCATAAACATCATTTAAGTGTTATAAAACACCTTTAAATAACACTCAGCTTCCTTTTAGTATTTTTTTTAATCACGACATCGCGAAAATATGTGACAAATGAATATTTGTCTGTTTTCCGCTGAAACATTCACAATTCTAGCTGTTGCTGATTGCAATTATATAAAATTAAATATTTTCGTTCAATAAAAGAATATTTATTATCAGCTATTTCATCAGAAATCGTAAAACAAAATTTTTAAATTTGTTCTTTACGGCAAAATTTACCGTGGTTGATGTGACATTTAGAAGATAAATTTTACCTATTTGTTTTTTGACATGTCCATTTTTATGTTAGTCTGTGTCTAACAATTTTTATTAATATCAATTAATAGTGTTTTGTGTAAATTCTCGACTTACAGATAGATAAAGGTTAGCCATCATACCGTATTTCTGTATGGTGAATTTGCGGTCTCCGATCGGCAATTATTTTAGGCTAAATAATTCAAAGTGTTGGACTACTTATTGGAGTTTTTTTTACACCGATTTCATTAATAAACAATTTGAAATTAAATTCTTGATAGGAATCGTAAATTTTTCATCATATCTTTGTGTGATTTTTGCATTCTTTAGATTGTGATTAGACATTTTCCGGCTCAATTTGCCGTGCGAGATTTTCTCTCATTTCACAAATTTCTCTGAGATTTTGGTGATTTTTTTTGCGAGAAATCGCGGAAATCGCCCCCTAGAATGATCCCTGTGTATACTTTTGATAGTCTATTAAATTTGTTGGACATCATACTGAAATCTCTTAAATTTTAAATAGACTCTTTCAAACTCATAGCTCAACATACATCAGCTTACCAATTCAATATCAATTATAATTAATATTATACAGAGCAGCTAACATGGTTACAAATGAAGAGAAACCTTGCAGTTCATTTCCTTACCTTTGGAATTGATGATACTGGAAGACAGAAGAGGAAGATGTTGAAAAACACATTGAGGAAGATTGCTGATATCTGTATAATCTGGTTGACTACTTGTAAATATATTGCTGAAAATATATGAAATACTTAGTGACAGGTGCATCAACTTTATGTCATGGATCTCTTAATATGCTATTTTACTCACCATTAGTAAAGCAAATACTCACTTTTTTAAAAAAATACTTGAGTTGACACTAACACTGTCTGCTAATACTTAAGTATCTAAGGGCCAGAATATTCCTGTTTTAAAAATATGGTTGAATTTTTAAATACATATATATATATATATATATATATACATTTTTTGTTAAGACATACCCTTTAATAAATACTTATAAAACAGATTTAGATATTGAAAATTGTATCAGAAAACAGAACAAAAATGTATGAATTTTATTGTGGCCTTACATCATAAAATCCAATGAACATCATTTTATTTTACAATTTTACAACATGTAGTTCATCATCCAAATGTTTACCTTGCTACACAAGGTTATGCATGGACTGGAAAAAACAAACCTCCAAAACAATTTAAATTGTGATGAAACATCCTTTAAAGTTGTTTAACCATATCTAGTATTTACACAAAAATATTCAGTTGAAATTTGAGGTAACAAACATTAATATTTCAGTTGTATTAAATCTAGTTTTCAATCAGGTTTTAAGGGGCAGATCAATGGAGAACAAATACTTTCCTCTAATTTCCTCAACTAATAATCTACTAATAATCTATGAAAGCTTTATATCTTAATGAACTTAAACAAACAAAAATCCATACTTTTAACACTGTAGTAAATTATGACAAAGGTAAATGGGGTTAAAGTAAAATCATTTTTAGGCAATGACAATGTCCCCTAAACCATCAATATAAGTAAAATCTTTTTGATGGATAAATGTCTGAATCAATAAATTAATGTTTCAACTCTAGATTACTTCAGTTTTGAATCTTTTTGTCGTCA